TTAAGGCCCAAGAGGACCAGAACCACCTGGCGCTGCTCACCACTGAGCCTGGCACACAGTAGGTGCTCAAGATATTTGAGTTATAAACTGACAATGTATATGGGAGAGAGTGAGCTTCTTAACTGAATCTTGAGTAGTGCACCAGCAGGATATACACCAATTTAACTGCCTACAGGGTTAGAGCATTTCATAAGAGGAAAGTTCCTCTTTTCGAGGTTTAAGATAATAGGAGAGCTAAATATGGAAGTAGGAAAGATTATTTCCACATATGAATGCACAGTGAATCACGATCACAGTTTTCCATTGTGGATTATTTCACTGTTAGGCTGGCAGTTTATTGAACCTGGAAGGCTCAATTTAAGAGTTGCCATCAGTCAAAGTGGTCCAACAATGAATTCACAGCTGCAGGTAACAGACACTTAAGCCCTGGAAATTAGGTGGAAGCATTTGGTAATAGAAAAAGTTTCTAAATGATGTCAGGAGAGGCCATAAGGAAAAGAGCAATGCTTTGAGGAAATCAGAGACCATGAGGACTCAAAGCCCAATTTATCTGGAGCAGAATGGAGCAGGACCATATAAGGAAACAGAAGTAACGGCAAAATAAATTGATAGTAAATTCTTCTAGGTTCCAGTGAGTTATTTGGGGTGTAAACTAAGATAATTGTACCATTTCCACATGTACTTCATACCCTAAGTGAAAAAAATAGAAAACTGTAATTTCTGCTAATCTATAAGCAGACCCTCAAGTTTCCGAGATGATCTTCGGTTTTTGCTTCTGAAGACGTAGCAGGTCATTTCTTTCCAACCACTGTCCCTTGCCATGGGTAAAGCCGAGCCACGAAGGGTCTGATGCAGGGCCTCTTCAGGTACATGTGCCTTAACTACTATATGCAAACACATCCTGAATTAAGATTTTTCTCAACATTTTCTCTGAGCTGGTCTACTGGACTGCCAACTTGTTATGCCTTACATGGATATATAATGAAATCTCAAACTTAATACATGATCTATCCAGAGGTGTTGGTTTTCCCTCCAAACCTGTTCCACCCAGATCAAATCCATCAATGTAGCTGGTATCATCCCACCATCCTTACCTTTCAAATAAAAAAACCCCCTACGAACCTCCCTTGATGCCTCACTTCTGCTCACCTCAAGCCCACTTCTGTCTCCAGTCACAAACCCTATCAGTTCCCTGCCAACTATATCTAGAATTTTCCCACTCCTCTATGTTCACTGCTACCATCCTTTTGCAAACCATCATTTCTCACCCACTAACTATTCTCCCTGCTTCTACTCTTGCCCTTCCCATTCTCCACCAATGACCCAGAAAGTAGACATATCACCTTCCTGCTCAAAATCTTCCAATGGTCTGCATTCGCACCTAACAACATGCCAAAGATCACAGAACTGCGAGTTCTAACTCTTGCTCTGCTATTGACTATACATTTTAGCAAAATGAAGTGACTTCACCCTCCTAGGCCTTATTTGCAAATTGCAAGGGCTGTCATGTTTAGCTTTAAAACTATAACATTCGAAGTCCAGTGTACAATTTGATATACTTATCTCATTTCATTTCTCCCTTTCGACAAAATGCCTACTTCATAAATCCTGTATTTAAGCACTTTTCCAGGGTCCACGCTCATGAACATTTACACAGAGATGCCATGGTGTTTCTCTCACTTTCCTTTGTTACCTTTAGACAGAAAAGAAAACTACAGAGGGATCTCCACCTTCTGCTTGGACAAGTCATCTTGGATGTGCAACTCTACAGCTGGAAGTCATCCCCATGAGATCAGTAAGTACTGGCTGTGGGCTCAGATGGGTCATTTGAAGCTGCTATACATCTGTCAGTTGACACAAAACTAAAACTGACATAGCCAGAGAAAACCCAGTGCAGATTCTTATGGTTCAGGCTCCAACTGAGTCAGAATATTAACCTGTTGATAATTTTTTCCTCTAGGATTTTAAGAAAGATTAAGTTTTAACTGTGAGAATGACTTATCCCAGAAAAGAATGTCATTTTTTAGGAGAACCCACTAAAATACACAAACCAAGTATTTCCTGTGATGTGAAAGGACAGTAAGTAGTGGAAGGAATCCACACTTATGTGGCTGGAATGTGAAGATGCACCAGACAAGATGACTTACCCATTTTGGTTCATTATTTAAAATACTGTTCCATGGAAACAATGGGGAAGGCAGAACAGAGAAACAAACCAGGAAAGCCTCACACTCAAAAAACCAGGAAAGAAAACCTCTGTCTTGCCTTAGGACAAATTAAGCAAATAAAGGAAAACCATTCAGCTATCCCACGCCCCTTCTCACAGCTCAGTAACAGCGAACTTACTCTCTGCCTCTCATTCTGGACCCTTCTGCACCAAAATCACAAACAGCCCAGGATATTGCTAATATTCTGGTTTTATATCCCGAGTTCACCTGCTCTGGGGTTAACTCCCTTCTTTTTCTGTCTCCCACCTTTATGCTTTCCTTGGATTCACCAGAATATTAAATTTGAGATTTTAAATTCAATCTACATTTTCTTAAAAACATAAAATATGCCCATTTTATGGGGAATGTGAACAGAAAATTAATGGTAAGTCTGTGAAATGTGAGCTCTTAATTAAAAGAGCTAAATAAAATCCCAAATCTAGCCAGACAGTTCCAATATCGCTGCTTCCCAGATTCACTCCCCTTTATTCCAAGCTCTTGGCTCCTAATCTCCCTCTCGAAGGACGCCGTGAGCCCTCCATCTGCCTGACCCCCATTTTCATCCCTCCGCCCCAAACCAGCACCACCCAGGAGCTCCAATGGGGTTGGCATGGTAGCTGCCACTGGCATGAGAACCCTGAGCAGAAACCAGAGGGAGCCACAGAATTAAAATGAATGCCGCCTGCAAACGTGGGCCAAAGATGAGGTTTCTATCTATTCAACTGTTGATAGTAAGTACATTTCTGCTAAGAAAACCATTCTCCAATCACCAAACTTGAGGAGGATTTTGTTCATTTCAATGTCCACTCAGAAACTATGCAAGGGCCATCTAACATAGTCCCATGTTTGAAATTATATGTTAAGACCTTGGAGAAATCTCAACTCAGCTTATCTTTTTTTTTTTTTTTTCACCAAGAAAGCAAAATGGTTAACTAGGATCCTCTCTCCTGAAAGGCTACTGGGAAACCTGCTGAGTGAATTGACATAGGTTCACTGCCTTAAGGCTGACACATGACACTTTCTCGAAGCAACTAGTAGCGGAAAGTCTGTACTCAGTTTCTCTCTGTTTCATGTGCACAGGCTGATTCCCCACACTAGACTGTAGTCTCTGAGGCAGAGACGAATTCTTCTTTGGCATCCCAAACTGCACTTTAAGCATATGGTTTGGCATATGTTAGACAATGCAAATATTCGCTATTTTGTCTTAAAATTATTTTAAAGCAAATTTTAGTTGCTTAGTTTTTTTTTTTTAAATGTGTTAAATTGTCCCCCTCCTTTTTTTTTTTTTTTTTAATTTGGAAAAGAGAACAGACCTTATTCGCTAAATAAAGCCAAGCAAATCCCATTAAGTTCTTTACTGACTTAATTATAAGGTAAGCTGACTGACTCTTTTGAAGGAGGAGCTCACTTTTTTCTTCCAGACCTTCACTCTGCTTCTGACCCTATCACAAAACGTCCAGTAAAGGCTCACTGTGGTGAACCTTCATAACTTGTAGTTAAAGGCAGAGTTCTGCTGACTTGGTCATTTCTATCACTTGCTTTACTTGTCCCTTTCTCATTTTTCCTCAGCCTCCAAACAAGACGCATTCTGAAGACATCTGAAGACATTCCAGCTCAAGAACTGACTGTGGACAGAACCCTAACCTCTTCTAAACCAAAAGCTGACAACACCAAGTAACAAATTTTCCTCCTTAAAGATAAGAGTTATCTTTCTAGTTAAGGCTCCTGGAATCTGCTTTTTTTGTTTTTTAATCCTAAGGAATTTTACCTTCTAGCACTATGTAAGACTGATATCTAGGTGCACACAAGTCTTTGAGCAATGGATATGCACACTAGAATGTTTCTATAACAGATGAAATAAAACCACAGATTTTACCTTAACAGATAAGCTTTAAAAATTCCCTTCGAACATTTTACTTTGCACTACTGACCTGATTTTGGAGTCACTGAGCTATTTTAGAATTTCAGTGATAGGATGTGTGCTCTGATTCTCCTCGTTCAAACACAATGCTGCCATTTATCAAGAGGGCAGAAAACGAAAATTTTTCTTTGTTTAAAAGAAAAACAGTATTTTGATTACTTGAAACAGCCGTACTAGAATAACATTCTGTATTACATTTGTGGCTCACTCTCAAATGTCCCCACACCTCCACTCTTCTTTCTTAACTGGTAAATAAAAAAATACTAGAACAGAACTTTAGTTTCAAAGTTTCTTACAATTTACAGGGAACGGATCTTTAAAAAATTTTTCCTTTGCCTCGACATTTTGATCTCGTTTTTACTTTTTTACAGTTTGGATCTCAGGACAAAGTAACTGGGGCTGAGGAAGTAGTAATCAAAGAAGTTACTTTATTTACAATGTTAAAGAAGCCAGTGTTCTATGAAACAAAACAAAATCAAAAACAAGACAGCTCAAAACTTTCCCTGAAATTTTCTCATGACAAAAATGTTCTCTACCTTATTGGGTTGTGGGTTATACAGGTGTATATATTTTTCGAAAAAACAAGCTTTACTCTTACAATCTCTATATTTTGCTATGTGTAAATTATGGCTCAATAAAAAGATTTAAAAAAAAAAAAAAAAAAAAAAACCTTTCTGCAAATCACATTTCAACAGCTGCTGCCGGTAATCCATCTCAGACCTGAATTTTCTGTAGGTTAACAAGAGCCTAAGGCCAAAGAAGGAGTCGCCCTACACAAAAGCTACTGACACCCCTGCCCTCAACTCTCCAGAAACTTCCATCCCAAATCTTTCTTCATTCTGGAATTGCCCTAGATATGAAATTCCACTCACCTCAACTGACTGAGAAGGCATTTTCAGTTTGGTGAGCTTGGCTTTGGCAGGCACTTTTAAGTCGGTTTTTTCAAAGGTCTGTTGCCGGTACTCCTCCGGCAGTGGTTTCAGTTCCGGAGACTCACTAGGAGCCTGATCTTGACCGTCCATGGGCCGGACATAAGCCGTGGGCTTCTGCTGCATTGCAGTGCTTTTTGAGGGAAGGGAGGGTGGGGGGAAAGTCTGAGAAGGTGGCTGGGGAGGGGCTACCCCAAGGCTAGCGACTGCCACCAAACTGTCCTGAGGGATCTCTTTATCACGGACCTTTACCGGCAGGTCCTTGGGAGACTTGGCTGGGCAGTAGCCTTTACTATTATTATTACTGCTGTGAACATGGCTGCTTCCTTGCATCCTGGGAAGAGTCTGCTGGTTGGAATGTATAGGTGACAAAGGGGGTACTGGGGAAGGTAAAGAGAGTAAAGGACAAAGCTCCCTCTCTGGAGCTAAGTCTGTCACTGAAGCAGAGTGGTCTCCATCAGCTCTGCGGTCACCATTTTTGTGATGACCAGACCTATAGCCCTCCTGACCAAGGCGATCTTGGGTCAGGTGCTGGCTGTCCGGGGGACCATAGCTTTTGACATGGAGACTTGACATTGGTTCCATTCTTGGCTGTGCCATCTTTGGATTGTGGCTAATGTTACCAACAGGCAGTGGTCCAGAGGCAGGAGTGCTAACAGGCTGGTGATGAACGCTAGTGTTGAAGGAGTGAGATGGAATGCTGCTCCCTTTCTCAGGAAAAAAAGGATATCTCGGCTTTCCCAACCTATTTTCGGAAGCATCCAAGCAATGAGTGTAGGACTTGGTAGTAAGCAACTCCTTTACTTCTTCGTAGTTTCCCAGCATGTTCTGTATTCGACTGGATAGCTCATCACCTTTTTCTGTCTGAAAAAAGAAAAATAAGACAGCAAAGTCAGATACTAAAACAAACGAACAACTAAGGAAAACCAACATTTAATAAGCCATGTTACATGACACCATTAAAAAAGAAACACTTCGATTTAATGTGTAACGCAGAATTTAAAGTGTAATTTAAACTCAGCTACCCTGTTGAGAAGCCTGTCGTGGACAATTACTACATACAGGAGACTAACATTACAAAAGAAAACCACAACCATTGGTAATTGTGACTAATAAGTTTCAGAGAATGTTCATATTTTGTTTTCAGAAACAATCTCTAGGATAAGTTATTTTATTTTCATCGTTGTAGCCCTTGTTCAAACTCAGTTTCAACACAGAGTTAAATATTGTGGTAAATCAGACTTTCTAATATAAATTAAATACCTTGTAGGGCTCTCCAAAAAGGGGAATCTTTTCAGGAAATGCCTCTTTCTCTTGGTGAGCTTCCTGGTTGCGTCTTTCCTTCTCTCTAATTCGAAGCAGGTTTCTGTCTTCATTGTATAAGCTGTTTCAGATGCCACAAAAGAACAAAAACAATAAAATGTATCAGTATCCAAGTTTTGCTGTGCACATGTACATGTTTGAGGGAGGCGAGGATAGGTCGAGAGGTGATAACAAGGGAGATAGATGATTTAAAGAAAGCGAAAAGTCTCTAAACTCACTCCTAGATTAAGGTTAAGTCAATGGGCTGTGACTCTCCAGCCTTGGTTCTGGCTCCAGAAACCCAAGCATTCACCCTGGGTTACTGCCTTCGTGGCTCAGGACTGACTCCAAACTGAACAGTCTTTTATAGGCAGTGGTGGAATTAAGACAAGATTAATGATATTTTTACTTTCAGCTTGCAAAATATGGAGTAGAGGTAGAAGCTTTTCATCTGAAAGAGTCAGCAGGATGTGAACTTTTAAAAAGCTGTTTTCCTGGACCAGTACTGCACATTTTGGAAGATTAAAATCAAAAGACTTATTTCATAATTAAAAGATTACCAGACACCCAAAACAGCATTTAGTTTATTCTCAGCCTACTCTACAGGGAGTGTCCTGGCATGTAACCTCAAGATGATCATTCTTCTTTCTCATTTCAAATGACAAGGATGGGAAAATCCAATTTTAGATCTAAGCTCTACCTACTGATATAATCTGATTGCTCTACTTAAACTATGTAAAAATGTACCCTAAATCATGAGCCCTGGCACCAAAAGTGTTAAAACGCATTCGCTAACAGACAAAACACAGCAATGGAAACCAAAAAGTACAGTTTTAGCTAACGTCTAAACCAAAAGTGGGCTTGCCTCATGTCAGCAACACAGGCTCCTCCCCGCCAACCAGCACATGTGATGCATAATAAGGAAAATAAGAACTATAAAAGACGTCTGCCCTCACAGACTTGCTTCCAGGGTATCTACTGAATCTTTTCCCCTAACAGTATTTGAATAAATAAGTAGGAAAATATTCAGCTGTCTCACTGAGACTATATGTACCTTTAGAAATGCTAGCCATGATGTCATACACCTTCCCCCTACCCTGGCCTCTGTTCTCATGACTTCTATTCCCTCTGACAAGGGCCTACTTGCTGGCTCCCTGCCTTCCCCAAATCTAGTCCCTCTAACTCAGCCTTCTCATGGAAAGAAATCTAATCCAAGGCCCTAGTTCTCATGTCACTATCCATATTTTAAAATAGCAAGCATTTGATGGCTCTTTACTGCTGGAGGATAAACTCTAAATCCTGGCTTTGGCATTAAATTCCATTCCCTTCCCTCTCCCCCCGCCCCCCCACGCACACATAATCTGATACAGATCTACTCTAGAAATTATCCCACTGTCTCCCTGCAGACCTGCCACATGCATTCCACTTGACAGTATTCCCCCAAACATATCCTATAAATGGCAGCCTCTTGCTCTCATCTCTATCCCAGAAGGCCCCTTTTACTGAAAGACCACAATTCCTCCAGGGCCAGCTCACCTAGGAAGGATAATTCTCTTGCAAACCACCTCTATATTTCAGTCACACCAGCCTAAAGTTACTTCCTAATCAGTCCTCTTACTTGGCTCACACGAATTTCCTCTGCCTCTCTCTCAACAACACACTCACATCCCCCATTTTCGGCTACCAGCAAATCTCTAGAGTGACTCCAATGTCACCCCCTCTGAAAGCTTCCTCAAACCCAACCAGAACTTGCAAGTGAACACACTGCGTGGTTCTCTCTCCTCTCCTTTCCCCTAGAGTGTGAACTCCATCATAGCAGAACTCATATTCCTCTTTCTTCTGGTGCTAAAGCATGGTACTTGGCATACAAGGTGATTATTAAAGGTTTTTAATTAAAAAAAAAAAAAAAAACAGCCACTGTGCTTAACAGTATATTTTTATAAACCTCCTTGTAATTATCTAAAAAAAAATTTAACTCTGGAAGACATATGCAAAAGCAATTTTTAAATAATTATGACCATCTAAAAAATATGATCTCCTGCTATTTCCATAGCTTTCAATCTAAAGGTGGGAAGAGGCTAAACCACCTAGTTGAATTCATTAGGATATGGTAAAGAATTATCTGCTTAGACGATCATATCAAAAACTTTTCCTAGATGGGTATCTCGATATCAGATTTTAGGAAAACTCTTAAAACTACAAAGTGAACAATTTATGTTAGTCAACACACTAAAAAAGTTGAGGAGAAACTAAACCAGAAATTGGCTACAGAAAGTCTTCTTTAATAGTCCGAATCTCGCACATTTCAGACAGATTTACTTCTGTTTGATAGTAGCACAATGGACTTGACGACCGTTTAAGAATTCCTTACAATTATTTTATGATTTTGGTAACTGCTCTTGTTGGCTCAAAAAAAAGAGTGATATTAACATACAACCATGAGAGCCAAGTAAGAGGACTGATTAGGAAGTAACTTTTTCTCTTCAAACTGCATTGCAGCCACTTTGTTTGCAGGCACAGGTGGGCATGCAACTGTCTTCTGAGCAGCCTGAACTCTCAGGCTATTTTCCAAAACTACCTGGTACGTGGCACCACAGAAGGATCTGCTTTGCTCTCTTCCCCACAAGGGGAGTTCTCCCTTTCCTGATTCTGCTGCTTACAACAGTGGAGTCTTGACTGCTTTAATAGCTCGTGAGTAAGTGGTCACAGCCTCAGGATCTGCTTTATAAGGCAGAGTTTTACCCACTTCTGAATAATTGCTACCTTTGTCTCAGAAAAGGGAACCCCAAATGGCAAAATTCTCAGTTCCAGATTGAAAAGTAAGGGTGTGAACAGCAGCACCTCAACTACCAGGCTGCTTGAGGTCCTCACTTAATTTTCCTGTCAACTCCACACACATCTTTAAGAAAAACTATACTGGTTTAAAATTACTAAAGTATTTCTAAACTGATCAGCTCAGTATTGGTTAGGTTTTACCATGCTTCCAGATTTTCTTTCCCAAATAAAAACTGCTACAGAAATAAGAAGAACCCAGTTTTTTTATAAAATTCCTAACACTGGCTTATTGCTATGTGACTCAAAAATCATGCCTCCCATGGGGAGGAAATCCCGTTAAATTAAGGGTTCTGGTTAATTAAGGTTTTATTTCATTAGCTGAAAAAAAATTTTAACCCCACCAAGAGTTTACTGGGAGACATATAATACTATATACTAATTTTTCAACAAACTTTGAACATACATTTTTTTTTTCCTATTCACCATCCCCCTTTAACTGAAAAATCTCAAAATAGTGAGGAAAGACAGCACGAGTATCACTGGTAGGATGAATTTTATAAGGTCTAGACTTTGAGAGAAACTCACACTCACCCATACTGTCTGATGGGCAACTCCCTATTGGGTCTCACTCACCAAGGCTCCTGGGCAGGGGCGAGGAAGGCAGAAGAAACCGGAAGTGAAGTGCTCAGTCAATGGTTCTCAAGACTGCACAGGATAGGCTGTGAGCACGCATTCTTCTGGGTTGCCTAACTTCTCCTTGTAACTAACACGGTTTGCCAGCTGTACTGGGTAGTCTTCTGATTTACTTGGCTTTTACTTATTCCAAGTTTGCAATAGCTTAAGAAATAGTTTGTTAAAATGACTAGGCATCTTTTTTTCATGAATATTTTCTTTTTCTTGGTTCCATTTTGAAACCAGGGTAAACAGAAATTTTAAAAAAATATGAAAACAATTCATAGCATGAGCAAACCATTGTTCAGTATTCACACGTCGTTTTTAAAGTGAGGAGGGGGTGGGAGAATTTTAAATGAGGGGATTTTAAGAAGCAGTAAATGTCCTACACGATTCACAAACTCTGTAATTACTCTTGAATAATTACAAGTTGACTCTCACTTCATTTAATTAAAGGTATTTTTTTCTTCTGGTGTGGAGGAAAAAAACACATTCTTGCTCTCACAGGATAACCTTAACCCAACATCAGCCTGGTCAGACTCTTTCTCACTGTTCCACAAGTTCTCCTTCACTGATTTCTACACAGCACTTCGCATTAGAGTTGAGGTTCTTGAATCTTAGCATCAGAATCAGCTAGGGGGCTTGTTAAAACAGATTGCAGAAACCCAGCCCCAAAGTTTCTGATTTAGTAGATCTGATGTGGGGCCTGAGATCTGCATGTTTAACAAGTTTCTAGGTGATTCTGAGGAGTACAAGAGAGCACAC